AAACACATTTTACGTGAACAATGAGTAGCTCTTACCATATACTGACATTCGTCACAGCCAAGCAGTGGGCTTAATGATTGAATCTGTTGCAGCATTGTGGTGCTGATTTCAGTACAAGGTCTTGCAAAGAGCCTAGAAGAGAAGAGAAGTAACACAGTTTGGACACATTCAAGCTTTAAATGTGAAACAAAACATCTTCTATTGATACACAAAATGACAGACTCTGAATCCAGATCAGCAATTGTAACTCACCACAGTGTTCTGCAGAAGGCATGGTAAGGAACAGGAACAGGGAAAGGGGCAGCAGCTAAAGAGCCAATCAGTCCTGCAAAAAGAGCAGAGGCCAGCAGCAGAGTCCTCATGGTCACAGTGAAGCAGGTTTCCTTCTCCTATAGTGCAGTATTACTGTTGAGAGTGTGCTGGTTGCTGATTCCCTTACAAGCCCATTTATATAACATATGAGGCTTGTCATGAGGGTCAGTAATGATGCTTGAAATTGATTTGGTTAAGGTTATGACTTGTGGGATATTGTGTTGATTGTCTGTCTTGGTGGTCTTGTGCTGATTGTTCTAATTACTGGCAATGACTAAAATGTTATAGAATATGATGCAATGTGACACACCAATTTTTAGAGGTCAAATGTTTTGTCTTTTATTATACCTAGGGATGGAAGTTCCTCTCCATACACATTTTAAACTATATAAGAATACTCTGCTATGATTAAAATTTTGTTTTCCTGCATAAAAAGTGACAAAAAAGGAAAACTGGGGCTCGATGCACATTTGCACTTACTTCCTCATTGAAAAATCAGGCTTTGGGCTTCTCCTACCACCGCTGCTTGCACTATGTTAACAGGTGAAAGAGCAGAGCGTATCAAGATAGTTAGCTGAGGAAACATCTGAGAGACTCAGCCACATGTTTGAGCCTCAGTCAGACCCAGACTCAAGAGTTTTTAAGGAGTTTATTTTGAACCTTCCAGTTTTCTGACATTATTATTGGATCTGTAATGTTAGTAGTTTTCGGGGAAAGGGTTAGTTGGGATCAAAGCATGCTGTATCAATGCTTGACTTTTTAACTTTTTTGGCTTAAATTCATCCATCGGCTGCACTTTTTGACTATAACAAATGGAATTTTTCCTTCTGTCTCTGCTACCTGTGATAAGTTTAAGTCAAGTGACGGGAAGCTCAAGATCTCTGGATGACATTTTTCATTTGTACAGCGACATATACAGCAAACAGCTAATCCCTAACAGTCTCTCTGATATTGGGTTGCTCCAGCTATGCTATAAGTCTTTCCCCTGAATTACAACAAGCCCGCATGTTCGGTGTGGTCATAGCAAAAAGTCTTATCTTGAGAGAGTGAAAACCAGATTCCCTTCCTTACTTTAACCAAGCTTAGGTCAAAACCAAGTATATGGCTGGACTGCATAATGTCTATATGCAAAACTGAGAACATTGTTGAAAACTGTTGTGGGACCACTGTCAACATCTGACATCATTGCGTCTCATATTAGACAGTATTGCACTGTACTGTATTGTATTGCTTTGTGTTTTGATCTGCCAGGATTTCAGTTTTATGGCCTTCATCTTGGGCCTTCCTTGTCCTCACTTGGTCTTGGCTCCATGTTTCTGATCCTCAATCCACTTTTGGATATTTCAGTTGTTGTACGGACTGTAGTGATGTGTGGGTTGGTTAGCAGTCCAAACACAGAAGCCAGGGGCCGCATCTTCTGGAGGAAGCAGTCGACTTTGCTTTGCTTTCATTACCAGTGCCTTCGAAATGGAACAGTGTAGTTGTGCTGCTGTGAGGCCATTGGTTTTCAAATGCAGCCTCCAAAGGGTGCAGCCTCTGAATTGGGACACAGCTAGATCATTTGTGTCTGATGAAAAATTAAACTTAAACTATGTTCACATTTTAGACAATGTAATTAATATTTTCTTCCTACTCTATGCAGCCTATTATTTGATCCACCCACAACCCATCGGCTGTTAATCAGAATGTTAATTTTTCGGACTCGGCCTATTTCGATCTGTGGATTAACCTCAGTGTACGCGATTACAATGCATACATGCATATGTGCACTGTTTCTGTGAGCTGGCAATTTGTTTTATTTTGTTCTGCTCTGTCATGTTTATTTATTTTTCATTTTTGTGTGTGTGTCTTGTGAAAAAGGAAACAAAATCATAAATGTCCTGTCTTTTATAATTAAACTAACTAAGTTCACCAGTATTAGAGAATGGCACCATGAGGGATTCAGGAGAACAGGTTAGAGAGAATATGAGCAAAGATCTAAATGCAGGACTCTAAATACGGGACATTTAACCTGAATCACAAAAAAAAAAGAAGAGGGAGAAAACTATCTGAAAAGGTTGGCAGATTTCACCTGGCTTGACACCAAAGGTAATTGTTTGTTATCCTTATGTATCTTTTTAAAGTGGCATGAACCTACACCCTTGTAAGAATTCAACCCTCTTCTTTGTAATGCTCACCAGTCCACACATCCAACTCAACAAAGGAATAATTAGTCAACTGACTTGTGAATGACCATGAGTTGACAATTTTTTTTAAATGCAGAAAAAAATTATTTCATGCACAGCATGTTCACTGTGACCAATACAGACTTTTCTGCTTACATGACAGACAAACACACACACATAAAGCATGGAAAACAACATCAGAACAAATGTATTTATAAGATATATCTGATGATCTAGGCCATAACAGTCATCTGGTCCAACACATTGAAGTTAGTGTGACGACTGGTCCTTCAGAAGCAATAAAAGAAAACAAACTCTGATGCCCTAAGATCCCCTAAAATGCGGGGAAAAAATGGATATTGTTGGGCTGACTTGGTTGACATGTTTTTGCATGTCATGCTGCTAAGCATTAGGGCTAATTTGGAGTGCCATTAAAGAAAGTAGATGGGGCTGTTTAGGCAGCATTCGACACCAGAGAGGCAAGGGTATGGAAGAATGAGGAGCATTTTGCAATCACTGCAGTCGAGATCTTATACACAGATACATGAAACATACACTCCAAGGCATAGTGTATGAGAAGTAAACATAATATGTACCTAAACACGGAGTGTATACTGTGTGCTTGGGAGAACTGTGTTGACAAGTAAGTTTAGATGCAACATAAAAGGACAATTTATTCAGGAAACTTGGATTATTTACTGTGCAAGATATTTTTTATTTCTGTGTGTGAACTGGTCAGAGCAAAGAATAATGGATAACATACTATTTAGTTAGGGAGAAGCATTTCAGAGAGCAGTGGCACAATAATCAAGAAGCACAAACAATAAAGTTCAATAATTTTTGTAGGTCTTGATTTTAGAAAAAGGGGAAACATTGTGTGTTTGTATAGTGAGGAAACTAGAGATAAATCCTCTGTGTAGCCATCTGCATGGGTCAGTCCACTTTCTGTTTCAGTAACAAGGGATACAAAAGTGCACAAAGGGAGTCTGTCACTCCTTCATCAGGTCATAGTATATCCAGAAGTGCTAATTCAAGGGTGACAGGAGAACCGAAGACTTTTATATGAAGCCTTGACTTAGTAGTTCTGGACACATAAGACAATTTCTGCAGGTTATTTTATTTATATTTGAAACACTGCTGTAAATATGTAAGCAAAACAAATCTCATACCGTCCATTAGATTGTAGAGGAGGCAGTGCTCATTTTAGCTGGCATCCTAAGACGAGGTGGAAACGGCCTGTGTCGGAATAGCATGCTGCATTTCTTTATTATCTAAAAGAAAGAAACATTATTTCAAATATTGTATTTAATGACAAAGACATTATGGTCCAATTCTCCTTGTTGATATGATCTGTAGGTATTCACATGCACCTCTCTTGGTCGTCAAGTGCTGAGACAGTCCTCATATCCATGACAATACACAGTTACTTTTGTTTCTGTTCCTAATTTTGGGGTGCTTGAAGTAACTACAGGGTACATTTGTGCATTTACTTAGGAACAATGTAGTTGTAGCCTAATTTTTAGTATTAAGGTCATTTTGAAATAAAATCACAACATATTTATAGAGTGATGCAGGTGCCATCATTTAATAGAATAGGTACCCAGTAGTTAAATACTACTACGTTATACATTCTCTCTTGGGAGTTCCTCCCAAACGTCCAGATCATCGCTCAGCAGGTCATACATTAATAGTAGTAGTTAAAATAACTACAGTATAAATTCTTTGTATGATCCTAAAGTGTTACCCCCTTATTCCATAACTTCTTGTTCCTCAGTACCTACATCTACATCTATGTGACGGTACATACTGTACAAGTAATCTATTAGTAGCCTTCTAAAGATTAACTCCACTAATAAGTAATTACGCTGTTTATATATTTCCACTTTACTTACGGCATGTGTTTTCAGAAATCAATCAAAAATAATAATCTGCAGAAACTATGTTATGGGTTCAGAACTGCTGAATCAAGGCTTCATCAGTTCTGCTGTTGCCTTTGACTTATCACTTCTGGATGACTGAGTGACCTACTAAGGTTGTGTTGTGTGCCTACTCCCTTTTTTGTGCACTTTTGTGTCTCTTGTTACTCAAACAGGATGTGGATTGACCCAGGCGGATGGCTACAGAGAGCATGTAGAGTTGTCCATTGTGTAGGTCTCATTATCAGGGATTTATCTCTAGTTCCCTCACCATATAAACACACAATGTTTCCTCTCTTTCTAAAATCAAGGCCTACAAAAAATATTGCACTTTACTGTTTGTGTTTCTTGATCATTGTGCCACTGCTCGTGGAAATGTGTCTTTCTTCGTATCATTTTTTTCTCCTTGAAAAATATCTTGCACAATAATTAACCCAAGTTTAAACTGTCCTTCATGCATCTTCAGGCTGTCACTGTGTTTGGGTGATGAACTATAAAACTTTTCACCAGTGTTTGTGTGTGAGAACATGATACAAGACACTCAATATGCACTTGTTTTATTTACAACACACAGTATTTTCTTTATCCATGAAACGGACGATTAAAAACAAAATTCTCCCAAGCACACAGTATACACTCTGTGTTTATGTACATATTATGTTTACTTCTCATACACTATGCCTTGGAGTATATGCTGCATGTATCTGTGTATAAGATCTTGACTGCAGTGATTGCAAAATGCTCCTCGTTCTTCCGCACTCTTGCCTCTCTGGTGTATTGACTGCTGCCTAATCAGCCACATCTACTTCCTTTAATGACACTCCAAATTAGCCCTAATGCTTAGCAGCATGTATCAAGGCAAACACCAAAAAAAACCCCTAAGAGTCTGGAGATAAACAGGGAGAGGTCAGAGCTTTGAGACACATCTAAAATACCAGATATTTCAAGTCCAACCAAAAAGACAGATGTAAATGTGTCACCTCTTAAAGTTTGTGATTTACCTCTGTGATGGAAAAACATTCAAACAAGATGAATTGTTTGCTGTTGAGGCAGTAACAGAAGGAGGATTACTAGGTAGCAGTGAGAGAAAAAAAAAAATCATTGCATTTCAAACCCACTTTATTGACAGATTCTTGCCCTCAGTACAATGCAATGCAAGATTTGAAGTGCTGAGCACAGAGGAATAAATACGGCAATAAATACAGTACCGACTTGCCTCACTGGCCGTCTTTAATTCACACTCGCTGGAGCCATCAGAGCCTCACCACAAACACACAAACTGAGAAGACATCACACACAACACTGAGCCAAAGGTTTTTGTTTCCGCCTTACGTTAACAGTGGTCGTGGATCAACATGGACTGATATGCACTGCTTTAGGAAAGCAAAGATGTTCCTTTCTTTAAAACATGTCGATGTCAATTTTTCTTCCTCATTTTGACAATCGCTCGAAGATCGAAACAAGGTGAACAGACTGGAAGCGAGAAATTTCACATGGTTTTTGAAAGACGACAGGTTTGGATCTGTCGATGCATCCAAGCAGAAACCTGCAATGCTGATCAGTCACTTTATTTAACCATAAAGGGACAGACTGAATAGTACAATAGTGTCCAAAATGACATCTTAAGTTTAACAATGGCATGCATTGCCCTTATTTACTTTTTAGGTTTTTACACCTAACAAATGACGATGAGAGAAAACAACATCTAATCACGGTTCAACCCAACAATCCTGGTACAATCCATGTATCCTTTTTATGATAAAGTATATTTTAAAATCTCATATTCCTTCTCTGATATGTTATAAAACGCTGTTGCCTCGATATCAAGGGAAGATTACGTCAGACATCCTCGCACGGTTGATGTTGATGACCATTTCAAGTAAAAGAGTAACAAAAACAGTGAGCACAAATATAAAACATGTTGCGTTATGAGTGCTCACAGACAGGTCATCTGGCAAACTCTGAGAAATGCTGCACCACACAACCACATTGTTACATGTATGGCAGGCGACCAAAGGCAACTGCGAGACAATATATTTCGTTAGGATCCAGGCTGTGCATTGCATTTATAATACAATACGTGGGGGAGAGAAAAAGCCTCTGCTCAGTTCAGCTCCATCTCACATCAGATCTTCATCTTTTTGTGTTTCATACTTACCTGATTAAAGTGTCTCAAAACACATATGCTGTATGTATGATGTTATATATATATGTAACATCATAGACCATGATATATATGTGAAATATTTGTCATCAGACTTCATTTTGCTGGTTTTGGATTTCCGATATGCCTGTAAATACCAGCAATGTTAGAGTAGTTCCATAAACATTTATTAGTAATTTATTAATGTAACATAAGTGTAGTTTTTAGTATGGCGGTTAATTACAATTACAGTGCATAAAACGACCTGGTTCCTTTATTGAACACCAGCAAAACCAGTTCAACTACTTTTCTGACAACCAGAATGCAGTTTCTTTATTCGTGCTGATTAATTCCCCTTATTGTTTAGACATGATTTCTTCTTCTTCTTCTTTTTTTTTTCACAACAATAGTTTTTCTTTGCATTTCCTCGAAAACTACTTGCAACAACTTGGTGGAAAGATGGAGCAACTGAGCAAGAGCACCGGCTGCTGTTATCTAGATATGTAGAGATGATTTTCTTTTATTATGAAATGTGTGTCTCATTTTAAAAATGGGTGCATCTCGTTTTTTTTTTTTCCTCCTTTCTCTTTTCTCCCCTCCTTCTCTCCGTTCTGTGCTATGTGAAATATTACGTGAACTTACAAACCTTGTACAAAAAGTTGAAAAAAAAACAAAGTGGATTAGTAAAGCTGTTTAAAATCTATGGACTGACATTTGTTTGGAGTGTTAGTTTTCAAAGTTGGCAGGAAAATAAGGGAAGCAGGATGCTAACTGTTCAATAACTGACACTACAGTACAGTACACATAGAGTGTGGGTAATTATTCTCCCTTCACCGCACACACACGCACAACTAACCTTCGCTGTCTCTCTCATACCCTCCGGTGAGGCAGTAAATGAAAGCTGATAGCCTACTTGCCATCAGGTATTTAGCACGGCTTAGCACATTTTCAAGAGCGATGGACCCTCTGTGGATCAAACTGTCCTTAACTACTGGCTTTGAAGTTGCATTATGGGCACTAATCAATGCCTTCATACACTGTCTGTATTCATACCCATCTACCAGAGAGACAGAGAGAGAAAGAAAAGGAAGTTTAAGCAATCTGTGATTAAGGCAGTCTCATAAATATTGCAGAGAGGTTTTTGGCCCCTGTTTTGGAGATGGACCGCCACAACAGTCTTGAGTTCCTAGCTCTTACTAACGGCTGCTTCCTATCCCCACAGATTACAGAGCAGACGGGTGGATATGAATAGAAATGGCAAAAGAAAATCTGAGTGTGATGCCACAATGTTCGATCCGTGAAGGAAAAATATCCCATCAAAAACAACATCGAGCAGTAATCCTCTTTGGAAGAAAAGGTCATATTTGGTTTGTGTATCAGTCCTCCACGCAATGAATAATCTTTTACAGGGACCCTAAATACAAAAAAAAAAGAAAAAAAGAAAGCACAGCTCAGGGCGATTTAATTAAGAAATGAAAGTAAAGTAGAAGCCTATATCTAATTTGTCCACTGAAGTTAGTGCTAGGGGCTTTTTAAGCGACGTGCAGAGACGAGGATAGACAAAGGTCCCACTTACAGAAGCTTAACTCTGTCTCACTTAATTGAGTTCATTCCAAGTTACAGAAAAAAGTCAAAGCAGATACATACATATTAGCTGGACATAGGAGATGTGGCTCCCTCACTGTCTTCAGTTGAGTTCGGCTTCCTTGCAGCTTGCACGTTGTGAGTTCAAGCAGTTTTAAAATCTGCCAACATGGCAATCCTTATGTACTGTACCCTTTACAGTGCTTCCAATTACTGTACTTAGGGCCTCAAGCACTAACTAGACCTTTATCAGAGCTTCACATCCCTCTCTATACAATCCCTCAGACCCACTCCTGCATGGAGCGCTTGCAGTACAGTATGTGGCGCTGCGTGCTCTTCCTCCTGAACTGGAAAACAGTGTAGAGGAGGACCATCATGCACAGCGCCAAGACACAGGGGATAGCGATGGCCACTGCTTTCTCCGTGCCACCCGCGCTGTCCAGTTTGATGACAACATCCACGTCACCGTTGTCGTAGTGGCGCTCCTCTGCCACCGGGGGGCTCCAGTCCCAGTCGGGGTCTGCAGGGAGGCCATCACAACCCATGAAGTCCCTCAGGATGGACCTTGGGTAGCCAGGCTCCACACGAAGAAGCTGGTTGTTGAACTTCCAATACTCCTTTCCCTTGTAAAAGTAGGTAAAGCCTGGACAGAGGGATTATTGGACATATATTTACTCATACATTTTACAAACAAAGGCAGCGAGTATTCCTTTTTTGCTTGCAACACTTTCTGGTACAGCGGTAGTAGCAGTCATGTGCAGATGCTCTGACCGCTACTAACCAGTATGAACAAAGATGTTACACTGGTTTAAACATTTGCTCTGGAAAATCATTAAATGAAACCGGAAAATTTAAGTCATTGTAAATGTTCCGTCAACTTCCAATTTTCCTACTTAACTGTTGTGTTACATTCAGGACTTAACAAACAATAGTGACATGTGACCGACAACATCCTCAGAAAAATATGACTATTTGACAAAGAGCTTTATAGAACATTGATTTCTTGGTAATTGCCTGGTATCACTACTTTATTAAAAACAATGGTAATGTGATGGTTTTTATCTTAAAATCTCACTAACTAGTTTTAAAGTCAGTAAAGTGGGCATACCGTTGGCCTTGTCCACAAAAGCCCCCTGTGGAGAGTCAGGGATGCCTTTCCAGATGGTGATGGGTTTGGGATAACCCGGGTCCATGGTCCTCATATCCTCATTGTACCTCCAGTATCTACAACAGGACAGACAGAGAAAACAAAGCAGTCAATACAGAGGTTTACTGTTGATAAGTTGTTTTTTAAATCATTGATCAGGGCGTAATACTAAGGCTGAGCGATTGTGACATATATAATATGTTGTTGCCCAATACCCAGTGGCGATAATGTGGTGATATTTGGGGATAACTACTGATGCTTTTAAACAGCAATTACAGACAAGGAAATTCTGCAGATTGATTCGTACTAAACTGCTTAAGGACTATTTTGTTCATTTTAAACTTCTTTAGAAGTCTACTATGCTCTGTAATACAGCAGGGAAAAAACAGTATCAAAGCTTTATAGCTTGATATTATAGGAGCCAAAACTTCAAATGGCACTGGACCTGACTGTGGTCATGACGCTCGTCTTTTGTTTGTAAATCGTGGCCAGAATTAAGACAACAGTCTTCAATCTCTATCTGACCATTAAATGATCAACAACTGACTTAATTCACATGACCAGAGACATCGGTCAATCAATCATCCATACTGTGTTTATCTACCACGCACATTCGTCTCAGAGGTTCCTGTGATTGATCTGCTTTTCACACACTGGTGCACACACACATAAATCTTGCTATACAATGTCTTTTTTTTTCTTTTTTTTTAAATTAGAAAAAACACCAGCCTGTTACAGAGAGAAAGAGAGATAAAAATGTTTTGAGACGATGGACAGAACGTCCTGTTTGTCACGATATGCAGCAGCAGGTCGAGGGATGACAGTATCAAGCATTTTGTCAGCTTTCACCACAGGGTCCCCTGACCTCTTAGGATATGATTTATCATGACAGCTGAACAAACATGTGAGTCACACTGGCATACTTGCAACGCACATAGATAAACAGCAGACTCTCTGATTTGGTTGTTTTGGAAAGACTTCCTGGTTTTAAGTCACTTTCACCTGCAGGTAACTACATTTGCAGAAATCTATATAAATACTTGACAGAAAAGGACTTAAACTCTGAAGTAAGATACGATTAGAAACGGTCTAACACTGGGCCATAACGAATTGGATGCCAATGAGCAGCATTGTCAGCTGTTAAAGAGAAAATCAGTTGTCTCAAAGCAACATGTGACAGCTTGCAGAGCTTCAAGGATGGCAAATTATTAAATTATTAATGCCAAAATTAAAGATGCACTGATCCACACACCTGCGAAATTACTTAACATCTCATGGGTAACAGTCCCAAAAATCATTAAATGTTCCAAACATAGACAAACATCGCATCAGTAGAGAGGAACAGAAGTGAGGACACTTAAAAATAATTCTTTCTTTTTGTCTGTAGGATCCTCTCCTCAACATACTGTAATATACTTATAAAGGCAAATTAAAAGATGTAATGATTGTATATGCCATTTGGTAACACATATTCAATCGACTTTAATAGAGAGTTTCAGCCATCAGTGGTCCTCATAGTACTTGTTTTTGCTCCGAGAGATTTGCTGTTCTGCCCGATTGCTTGACTTCATAACAGCACTAATAATCGTTCCACACAGACCTGTCTCCTTTGAAGAAGTAGGTTTTGGCGACATCCTCCCACCACACAGCTGTCTCGATACTCTGAGTGGGCATGCCGCTCCCGAACAGCGAGATGTCCTGAGGGTACGAAGGCTGGAGAGTCGTGTCCTTGAAGACCCAGAAACGGTTTCCTAAAATACACACTCACAGTTAGGGACAGTCAGGGCTCTGGGACAAAGACATTATCATAAAGATGACCTCAAAAATTGCGCAAGACAAAACACTGCTGGCTCTCAGCTCATTCAAGCCTTCTGTGTGGCTTTTTTTTTTTTCCCTGCCTGTGAGTTTATTTATTTCTATGCATGTGATTTCAAAGGTCAGATGTATCGCCTCATTTTTAAAATACCTTCACAGCAGAAAATCTATGCAGTGTTATCTATAATACAATAAACAGCAAGATGATGCTCTGAAGGCAACTCCACCGAGACTTGTTGTTTTGAGTTTTATTGAAGCTATTGTTGCATTTAATTCAGTTTGATCATAAGTGCCCGAGGCAGAGTGAGGGGAGCTGCTGTGGTGGTGTGCTTGCAGTAAGTAGCTAGGCACTCACACACACACACATACACACACTCACACACACACACACACACACACACACACTTGTACACACAAACACTCACACACACACGCACAGTTAAGTCCCCATGTGAGAATAAATAAAGCATGAGGCACTCTGATCCCACTGGGTGACAGATGTCATGTTAATCTGCCTCATGGACAGTTGTCTGTACCGGACGAGCACCCGTTCTGTTATCGTACAGAACGCAAAACAACCTCACAGTCAGTCATCCAGTCTACAACTATAAATGCGTACTTGTGATGGCAGTATGCAATACAAATCATTTCTAATGAATGAACAAAATATTACTGTGAGTTTAAAGAGCTCACACTTTCACTTTTACTTGTAGTGGTAAACAGTAAAATATTACTCTCTTTTTTTTGTCATTTGTCAGTTATTACATTGTTGCGATTCAGTGGGAAAATACTCGCCACTTATCACTGATGGTAAAGGGTTAAAGGGTAATTTCTGTATATTTTGTTTTGTTAAGAAAAATACTTTTATTAATTGATTTTATGTTTGTAAATTTACACTGGGAAGAAAAAAATCAGATAAAAAATTTTGCGTTTGTTATATAATTTTTTTTGTTTTGGCAGAAATGCGCGTCATGTCACCTGTGTGCTCTCGCTTCATAAGGCTATGAGTGGTTACAAAATCCACAGGATACTTTTAGTAAATAAGAATACATTGAGATTCAAAAATGCTTTTTAGTACCTTTGAAAAAGACAAATTTCCCTTCACTGTTTTCATAGACGGCATCAATTTTAGGCGGCAAGCCTTTCCAGAAGTAGTTGATCTGCATTGGGTAACCAGGGACTACTGAGTTATCCCGTACCCTCCAGAACCACTGGTCCTGTTGAAACAGATAAAGGAGAATCATCATCATCTTCATCATCATCATCATCATCATCCCAAACCACTTTATAACCTGCAGCGATGTTTACTCAGACTGATGATCTATTCTACCTTGAACACAAAAAGCTCTTGGCGGAGGATGGCCAACGTGTTGAAGCCTCCATCACAGATGTTGGGTTTGGCGTTGGGGTTGGAGGGCTTGGCCCCCTGTGGAGGGCGGTGGGGTCTGGCGTGGCGGTCATGCTTGCGGGGGTCCGAGGGAGGGTGGAAGCGAGGCGGAGGGACCGTGGGTGGGGGCCTGGTAGGCTGCGGCGCTCTGTCTGGTGGACCTAAAAAGGAAGCAACATACAATATTTCATCCTCCTTCCGTACTGTTCCTCTTTACAGTGTTTTGACCAATGTACCTTTAATTTTAGCACAAATGATTTGGCCTCTTCGGAGCACTGTTCGCTGACTCATGTTGTTTTGAAAATGAAAATTGGCTGGCCTATTTTACAGCTGACAAATGCTTGTTACATTCAGCCAATATGACTGATGCCGCAGCATTTGCAATTGTGAGAAAGTGTTGGGGCAATATACACATGCATCATTGCTCTAAAGTGCTTTTTTTAAACTACTTTCTAACTACCAGAGTGACAGAAAAAAAGTTATTTTGTTCAACTTCCACTGATGTATACAGACTAAAGAGAACGAATGGTGTGTGAGAGAGTTACCATAGATTTTCTGGATGCCCTGTAGGTCATCGTGAGGTAGTTTGAAGTTCTCTGTGTCCATGTACTGGTAGAAAGGAGCCATGATAGCAGTGGGGTCGTTAGAGTGCTCCAGACCGAGGGCATGTCCCAGCTCGTGAACCGCAACCAAGAACAGGTCGTTACCTGGAGAGAGGAAGAGGACAAGTGCATTGAGAATGCAAACACAATGCCACATTTATGACATACACAGTAGATACAAGAGGTGGAGAAAAATGAACAAGCACACATTGAAAACATTGAAATTCATATGAAAATTACACATTTATACAATTACAGGGCATCTCTACTGTATATCCTAGTCTGTAAATTACTGTTTTTTTTTCCCACATATTTCTCATGTGCTAGATACATTAGCTCATGGCTAAAATGTGTTGCAGGAATCGGTGCAAGAGATGTGAAGATAAAACACTAAAATCAATCTTCTCCCAGGTCTTTAGTGATTACTTGATTAGTCAGTCATCAGAAGATAAAGCAACAACAATTTTGATGTTCCGTTAACCATTTAAGCATAAATTGCCAAACATTTGCTTGTTCCAGGGTGTTACATGTGACAATTTGCTTCTTTTATCTGTTACATGTCATTGTAAACTGAATATTTATTGGTTTTAGGCTGTTGGTGCGACATGGTATTTTGTGCTTAAGGAACTTGATGTCAGATTTAGGAACTGATGTCATTTTATTATAGACAAACCATTAAACATGATTGACAAATAACCGGTTGATTAATCAACAATGAAAATAATCATTACTTCCAGCCCTATGATCCAGAGTTAACCTCCATTGAGCTAACGTGGTGCAAAGTAGTGCAAGTAAGGATTACTGAAGGTAAACTGCCAAGCATGAGCACTTTCTCTCTTTTGCTTTATAAGAGAAGATAAGCCACATGTGAGCCACAGCTCACAGCGAGCAGAGGGACACACACTCACGTTGCTGCCCAGGGCACCAGAGAACAGTGAAAATACAAACGCGTTCATATGAACACATACATACTGAACACGTACAAATGTCGTCCTATTACAAGCAAACATTGGGTGTCTCATATGAATCACATGCAAACACACACACACACATACACACACACACACACAAATGAAAAAAGAAAGAAGTCACGGTCAGTGTCTATGGTCAGCACTCAGCTCTTAGTGTCAACCAGATTTAGAAAGAAGTACACCGTTTACGTACAGCTTCTGACTGAAGCTGTCCCCAGGAGATTGTTGCCCTTTAAAACATGATATCCACTCCTGCCAGCAGTGCTGCACAGAACAACCACTGACCCTCAGCCAGCAGCAAAAAGGTTACACCTTCCCCTCCCCCATTTATCTCACACAACCAGCCTCCTCCACCTAACCAATACTATCCCATAAGGACTCCCACGAGACAGGCCGGAGCTACCATTAGCGCACATGTCAACATGCAACATTTACAATTACACCACTGTGAGAGCCCATTAAAGATTGCACAGCTTTCCAGGCACACAAGCTGAGACAGGAGCTTTTCAGAATGAGCCTCAGCACTCCACATGGATAACCATGGGACACTGTGCAAGACTGAACATGAATTTGACTTGGGAGTCTGAGACAATTGCCATTGGAAGTATGAGAACAAAAGAGGGACAGGGAAGGGAGCTGATGGGTGGCAAGCAGTTTCCCAGAACAAACACAATGTGAGTTGTAACCATCCTCTCGCATGGGTAGAATGTAAACATATGGCACATCGGTACATATATTGAATATATACTAAATATATATAGGTAGGTACAGTAATTAAAGAGTGTTTGGAGGCATGTCTACAAATTATGTTCCCCTCTGAGCTGCAAGAAATATAACAGCCATATATGACGTAACTCCATGTAATACACCCAAAATAACATAACACAAAACGTTACACAATTAACATAATATGACCCATAATAACATAAATTAACTAATAATACTAATATACCCTAACATAGTTTATATATATCCATAGTAAAATTGCATAATATAACATGACATGACAAGACATAACACATAAAATCATGACATAACAAAAATAATACAACATAATCCATAATAACCTAACTTTACTTAACGTGACACCAATGATAACATAACACATAATCTGACACAACACGACAAAACTTAACATCGCACAACAAAACATGACATAAAGCAATATGATGAAAACCCATAATATAATATCCTCACTTAACATGATATTACATAAGCTACCTGACTTTGTCTTGTCTACTGTCTAACGTAACATAACATGATGTAACGTAACATAATGTAACGTTATGTGATAATAATAACCTGACCTAATTTAACCCGTCCATAACATGACATGACATGACATTGTCTTTGAATTTTGTTAAAGTAATGGTATGGATGTTTATCTGATACTTTTATGTAGACCTGTTTTGAGGCATACCAGTGAGCTACATCAATTTCACTAAAAACAGAATAGCCATAATCATGTGCCAGCAACCAATGTCTTAAAATAGCAGGGCTTTCTATCCTGTCATCTGAAGAGCTTATTATGCAGAAGAAAAAAAAACACATCAAAATCCTGACAGATGGGGTGATGCGTCTTTACAGAGCACAGCCATCAAAGACATCTCTGCATTTTTTGTTTTTGGTTAAGCATCCTTCATACCCTGCCCCGTGATACCATCTCTGTCCTATTGCCCTGCTGCCTGGCCATCTGTTTTTCCATTATTTGCTTTCTATCAGTCCTTATCTTTCTTTCTTGACGATTGGGTCGTTTTTGTCTCTCTCTACATTCTTCATTTCTTCCACACCCTTTACTTTTTTACCTCACTGTCAACATTCAGCACCCAACAACCATTCATTCTCCTCTTTGTTTTCTTTTTCCTAATCTTAATCTCTTCCTTTAATAGTTTCCTTTGCTCTTCCCTCGCTGTAGCCTTTCCTTACTTCTGCTTTACTCACTTCTTTATTGGTGTCTCCTTGTCACCTGGTCTTACTACCACCATTTTCTCTCTCTCTCTCTCCCGATTGAGGGTTTACACTCATTTTTTCACATCCACTTACCATCATGGTTGGGGTTCCCCAGGGTCCAGGGCTCATCTGAGTCAAAGTGTGTATCCCCTCCTATGCCTGGACCAGGGAAATAGGCGTGGGCGAGGAATCCCCCCTCCCCGTCGAAGGGTGAGCTGTCACCATGAAAACCCGAAGCGAAGATGATGGTGATGTCAACGTCACGCCTGCCAGTCTCCAGGGCACTGTATGGAACGGCCTCAAAGCGTAAGGGAGTCACACCCTGCCACACGTCAAACGCCCGCCGAATGGCATCATGAGTCTCCCGGGCGCCCACCTTTGGCGTGACATTTTTTATGCTGTAGGAAAAAAAAACAAGAAAACCAACTGAACGGGTTGCTGATAGATGGAGGCTATCAGGCTAAAATGCCATGCAAGTTGTAGTTTACATACTGTTTGGAACAGTAAAAGACAAAACATTTAAGGCAAGAGGAAATAGAACACATACTGCATCAACCCTGCGCTTTGTTATCCCATTAATTTCAAGTGAACTTTTTTTTTTACTTTTCAAAATGAGGTGACACACACACACACACACACACACACACAAAAAAAAGTTTCACTTGACACAACTATTTCAAGCCTGGCAGCTTTCACTGAACTTTTAACACAGCAGTCGTTATCAGTCGCTGGCAGGCAGAGAGGAATGGGAAATCTTCTCCCTTCCTCTCCACTCATTTTCATGAATAAAGTGCAGTCAGCAGCAGCACTGGCTCAGCACTGATTGACATTCCATTAGGAGAGGTGGCTCGTCAATTCAAATTCGGGGAGGAAGGAAGGATTTGAATAAATTGACAGTGTTATCGTCTATTACTGCTGTAACCTGTCAATTTGCAGTTGTGCCAGAGACCCGTTTATCGGTTCTCCTCAGAACCTATTAAAAGCTGGAGCTTAATCAGGCGAGATAAGATGAGAGTTTGAATATTTCTGCTGAGATTACGGACAATTTACTCTCAGGATTTTCAAACAATTTCATACGAGGGAGAGGAAAGCCTTCAATTTTCATGCTACTCAGCTGAAATTGTTTGTTTTGTTTTATGAAAAGGGGAAAATAAATTGACGAGGGTTAAAAGAAAAACAGCCTGATCCCATTTTTCATTTTGCCAGGGAGCTATTTATACACTGGAAAATAAACATACTCACAGCACACATGGGCAAATTTATGTGTTAATCTATGTGTTTCTGGATGTGTGATTGTAACTATATTTGTGTGTGTGTGTGCTCCCACATATGTGACGTACTTGTGCAGTCTCTATGACAACACAGAGCATGTGATCCCAGGAGGACAGGAGAGACAGAGGAGAGCTGAGAAAATTAACACTCGCATATCTGAACCCTACAATAAGCGCTGCTGAACTCAATAGTCGCTATGACAACTGCCTCCACTGTCTCTCACCTGTAGGTGATGTGTGTACGCTGCCACTTCTGTCCTGTCAGCGCGTATCTCCGCGTCCGTGACCTCGAAGCACTTTTAAATTTGTCCGGAACGCCACAGCGAGGCTTTTGCATCCAACTTGAAGAGAAGAGAAGAGAAAAGAGGAGAAGAGAAGAGAGGAAGAGAAGAGTGAGAAAAGTGAGAAAAGTTGAGAGGCAAACACCATCACAAGACAATATAAAGCAGTGAAGGATATTCAGTAGGTCTCTTCCTGTCGGGTGCCACACCATCACATCAGCAGGATAAGAGAGTGTTGCGCAAAAACACTACTACACTACTCCAAACTACTAACTACTTTTCCCATTCATACCACATCAGATTATCACAAGTACAAACACACACACACACACACACACAATACATAGGCGAAACATGAATTCTCACCTCAGCGTGATATCACTGCATCATCATGCAAAATGAGAAGAAGGAAAAGGGTTAAAACCTTCACCTCAGGTTGTTTCAGGCGAGGTGGTGGGGAGTGAAATAAACATCTTTGTTTCTGTTCTTCACTAAATCATTGAAATATTGATAGCCATTCCTCCTGCATTTTAAATGAATGAGTGGAGCATTTGCATTAATGTAACATCAGCAGCCTAGTGGAAATGCGTGTGCACCTCAGCTCGCACATCTGCACGTGTGTATATACTCACTCCTTGGTTTTCTCATCCAGTGTCCCTGTGACATTGAGACCGTAGACGCGCTGCATGGCAGCGATGGCTGAGTGCATGGTTTGTGCCGAGCGCAGGACAGACATTCCCGGTTCTGTGCGGGGAAGGTAGCCATACCTCTGTAGCCATCCCTATGAGGGGGAAGAAGGGAAAAGATTCGGGCCTTCATATTGTGGCTATTTTAAGACTTGATTCTTTGCCTTCATTAGTAAACTCAAAGTCAAGAGAAACAGGGAGGAACAATATGAAGATGGATTGGGAGATGACAGGTGATAAAGGTCCTGTGCTGAAATAACACCCAAGGACTTCACACATTTGGATTAATCCACCAAAACAACCATGATGACCCAAGTTTGTTCAAATAATAAATATGTTAATCATCTACTATAATGAACACGTATCAACTGAACATTGTGTGCCATACAGCAAAAGTGAATAAAAGAAAGAGTCTGTTCTCTACATCATTTGTTATTAGCTGCAGATATGAACTTGAATCTCCATAAAAACCATTATAGATTCCCTTTTTTTTAAGAGCTGTATTACATGCTGGGCGGTTGTCTAGTACAAACAGAGACCATAGATATTCCTCCACCATGGGGTACCTTGCTCAAGGGCACCACAACCAGAGCTGAGGACAAAGTACTGTTTGTTTAGTTACTTTACCCTTTTCCAACAAATCAAATTTGCTGAGAAAAGAAACTGGGTATAGGGTAACTGGCAAGATCCCAGCCACAAACCAACTTCTTTAACCTCGTGTCCAGTGCCAAGCCTAGAATAAAAATCAATAGGAATATGGCTGCGCATCATTCATTTTGCATCTCACAAGAGGCTGTGAGATGACTAACAATGGCTACAATCATTTTTTCTCATTATTGCAAGAACTGAGACTGAGCTGCTGTCGTTGTATTTACACTTAACATCACAGTGTGGGTGACATGTTTAGAAGCTTCAATGAGATACTCAGCAGCATCTGCATGTAAACAGTCTATTATTTGCTTAAACTGTCTATCCAGCAGTTGGTTTGGGTTTAAATTTGACTTGCGTTTAAATCCCTTCTTGTGACCTTAGTCAGAGTTTGTGTCTTGCGGCTGCCGGCCAGTGTAGATGTGCAGGACTGTGGCCCTGCCTCCTCTTGCCCTACAAAGCCAGAGTGCCGCTTGATACTGAGGAGAGAGGTGAGACAGAGCATCATCCAGGGGTCATTGCCAGACTCAAATCCTGATGCTGAGGGGCCACGAGGTGCCCACGCTATCCACAGCTGTCCACACGCCACAACCAGCTGCCTCCCCCATCACTACACAGCCTATGAGAAATGCTCCAGCTAGCTAATCTGTCCCCCCCCCCCCCCCCCCCCCCCCCCTCTCTTCTGCCTCCATCCCTCTTTCTGCTGAGCTAAACGCCTTGTTTATCCCCTTTTTCCCCTCTCTCCTGTGGGTGTGTTTCCTGTGTGTGTGTTGTGTTTGTTCAACGGCGCACATCTCAGAGAGATATCAGGCAGATTTCAGTGAGCCATAAAATTGAATAATGATGTGTATGTGTGACTGAAAGCCTCAGCATTTAATTTCTTCAGACTGGTGGGAGGGGAGCCTGTGGTGAGGATGGAAATGACATCAATTAATAAGGTACAAAAAAAGCAAATCCTATTATGCAACTTGTGTCTGCAAATGTTTAATCTCCTCCAACACTATGATGCTGCCAAAAGCATGTCTGACTTTATGTTGGCCTGTCACAAAACTATATGACAACCTAATGCTGTAGGGCATCTCTGTTAAAATAGACCACTCTACGTGCAATCATATCTGGGTTGCACATTTGGGATCAGTGGGCTGGATCAGCTCGGCTCATGCACCGCAGTGTAATAACCTCAAATGAGCATCCTTCTGTTTCATTGAACCCCACAAATGAGGAATGTGCTATATTTTCGCTGTTCAGTACGTGAGCTGTCCTGATAGGCTTACAATGTCTCTATGTTATGCGTGATGGTAATTGTATCCACGGATAGCGTCGGGGGGAGAGTCAATATATATGTTTTTCACGCGGAGGCAGATGATGTGGAGGAGATAGCACGGTCATTTATGATAACCAGGGAGGGAAGGCCATTTATCTTACCTCTACGCTGAACTGATGATCCTCCTCTCCGGACACGGCACACGAAATCCAAAGCAAAAAATGCAAGCAGAAAGCTGCCGCGTAAAAGCAATCCGATGGTTTTCTTTTACTGGAGGATACTAAGGTCATAATGACCTGTTTTTCCCGAGTGTTTATTAGAAGAAGCCGCCCGTCTGCTTTGGCTCTTGTGTCAAATGAAAACCATCAGGCGAGCTGTCAAGGCAGATTCAGATGAAAACGAGAAAAGGACCCCGCGTTTTATAAAAAAAAAAAATCCCGACGGTGGCATAAAATGTTCCGATGTCAAGCAGAGATAACGCGGCATGTTAGACCCGCTGCCCTCGCCATTCTTATTTACATCAGGGGCTACATCTATCCAGCAGCATCAATGGCCATGTACAGTACCCAATCTGCGCAAGATAGGCTCCCTCCCGACTCGACGCCTGCGCTTTGATTTCTCACACAGCGCAGCGCTGCTTGGCAGCATCCTGAGAGCTGCCCTACAGAGTGCATGAGAGATGAAATATCATTCTTCAGAACTGCCTGTGCCTTTGGCTCTTACACTGTGCAGGCCACTGCTCTGTGCAATTTGTGCAACATGTGCAGATCGTTTGAACTTAAATTCATTATAGTAAACAAAGGCCTAGATCCAGATTAGACTGGTGTAGCCTACATTCCTCTGCTGATGCTTTGATAAGGCTAAGCCAAATGGTTGCTATGTGCTCTGACAAAACTGGGTAATAGCCCTGTAATAAATTTAAAAAAAAATACACCCTGGATATTGCCAATAATTGATAAATTAATCAATCATCCGATCATCATCATCATCATCAGCCTGCAGGGCTATACACACAATCAGGAAACCAGGGCATAAGCAGAGCATTAGCCTCATTATTCTCACTTATCTTAAAATATTTGTCCCACAATTTACCCCCGATCTGTGGTCTGCAGACAGAACACACGACCTTACATCTCCCCAAGACGTTTATAGCGCCTACAGCTCTTCATAGCCCAGATATGGTCCACAACAACCTGCCTCGAGCGAACAAGCCACGAGATGGCGGTGTTTCATTGAGGAAAGTGACCCCCCAGCTATTTGCTTACAAAAACCTCTAAGGACATAGGAGACACTGAAACATGAATCCACATCATACAAACAAATGAGCCGAGAAATGAATCTGAGATTGATTCGTGTTATAGGCCTATACCAGGAAATGATAACATATGACTGATAAGTAACAAAGGAATATTATTCATCCATCCTTCCATGGTCTAATCATTTATCTGTTGGTGTGAGGAGGCATTAAGGAAAAGTGGTGGTCTAGGTGAGGTTCAAGCCTCCCAGTGTGTCCCCGGTCTGTGCTGTGGTCTCTTCTAGGAGCTGTGGCTCCTGTCTCTGAGTCTGACATATATCCCCACCTGCAGAGAAATCTACATTTTAGCTGATTGCATCCATGATCTCATTCTATCAATCACTTGTACAACAGAGATTTGAAATGGATATCATCTGCCAAGCTGACACATTTGTGGCTTTGCATTTTTTTTTCATTCTCATTGGTGACCACAATCCAGTGCAGAATGTGCTCTGCTGAAAGCAGTTTGTCCAACGGTCAGTCTTTTGATCCTCTTTATTCAGATTGTGTATGACTCATGCAGTTAGACGCACTTTCTCATCAATGATTTGAATGAGCCTTGCCCCCCTCCCTCCTTTTACAGGAAGAGAACCATGGCACCAGCTTTGGGAATGCAGACCTTCAGAGCCCGACTGTACCACAGCCAGCACAAAACCACTTCAGTGCACACTGGCAATCAAAGCCCCATGAACCGAAGTGACCGCATCAGTGAGTAGAAACATCAATTCAACAAGATCCAAAGTCCAACGTTGTCTGAGTCTTAACACACAATTTTACTAAATGTCCAAGTAGGTTGATTTTACTTTACTTTACTCAAGTACTGTAAGTGCAACTATGAAGTAGGCTCCTCGTACTTCGCTTTTGGTTTACTGCTATTTTATATATGTACTGCACTACAACTCAAATAATAGCAATGTACATTTTACTTACTTTTTATTAAATAAATTATGTTGTATTATCATAGTCTAAGATAAGTTAAGACATTATTGATCCCTGGGGGGAAATGTAGAAGCCACCCATCAGTATAAAGAGAAAAAAATAGCTGAAGCAGCAACATCAAAGTGATGTATACATTATCGCATCAATAATTAGAATACATTGAACTGGACCATCATACTTTCACTTATGGTGATCCTTTTATATTTTTACTTAAATGTGGAATGACCTGCTGATGCAAAATCCGATTTTAAATCACTTCTGAAAACCCACTTTCATTATATATTATATATTTTGAGGCATTTTTAACTTAACATTAGTGCATCTGTACAATATGTGTGTATGTGTATACTGTACAGTTCTTTTTCCCTATTTGGCTTTTTGCTATTTGATTTGAATTTTTTACTGTTCAGTTAATTTTTCTTATTATTTTATGTTTGGCTTTCATAAAGAACTCACTGACTTTGATAAGTGCTGTATAAATAAACTGTAATATTGTTATTATTATATGCATGGCATCCCACACACATTAAACCTTACCTTTGAAACCTGAACACACAGAGACATCACACAATTATTCACATTACTCATGACTGCGGACAAGGTGTTCCATGTTCTGAAACAGGATGTGACTGGTTGTGAAGTTGAGAAAGGGATTCCTATTGGATTAAAACAGGTTCATTCATTGACTTTGAGGTGTTTACTGTGTAACCCATTGGGCTGCCATGGAGACCACATGCTCTGGCAAGTGAACACGGCTCGAAGCCAAGGACCAGGGGCCTCATCAGGAAACGGTAAAACACAGCAATGAGACACATGCACACGCTTTATTGCTCTTCATACATAGAGAAAACAAATTGTGTGTGATTGCATGTGTGTGTGCTCACGGTTACAAAACAACAATCCATTCCTACATTCAAATATTTGCCCTCACTATTTCAGTTCGGCTTAAGGAAAATTTCCTTCAGGGGGGCAGATGGTGAGATACAAGGTAATCTCACTGGCTTCTCTAATTAAACCTAATTAATTGGTACCTGACAGTTTGTTCTGAATGCCTGAGGCTTTTCAACCATACTGCTGAAAACAGAATTTAGAAGGCTATTATTAAAGCTTTTATGGATTCAGTCACATCTAATCCAAGTCTTATCTCATATGTCAGCGATACAGCAGCCATGATGAGTGCCTAAAATAGTGCAAAGATCCACAGGAAGCTCTCAGTAATCCAAAACTGAAGAGGCAATCTCGTACATTTCATGCATCAATCTTGGAACTGTCTTTGTATATAACTCATCTTTCTCGCCAGCCACACGCCATCATGTTTTGATTTGATTTTGTTCAGTATTTCTGCTTATTATCATTGAGGAGAATTATACTGTATGATACAGATTTCTGGGAGGCTGGGGGATGGGGTGGGGGTGTGTGTGTGGGGGGGGGTACTCTCTGGTGTTGCTGGTCCATCTGGGCCCTGTCATGCAGATCAGACTTCAGACCTTCAACAGCTCATCTCCCATCACAGCATGGTCACATAACCTTTCCGCCTCACTGAACCACCTAATAAGACTCCTTGTGTAAACATTAGTTAATAAAAATGTTCTTAGAGGTTGCGCCTTATATTACATGTCTTATAGTGGCTTTTACTGTATTTGAAAGAAAGTGTACGTCTCAGATATGTATATGTTGGATTTAGGGATGCACACTGCAAATCAGGTTCAGAATACCAGAGCTTAAGGGCGTCTGGTGGGCACACATCTCATAACCACAACGTCTACGGTTTGATTTCTGACTGAAGGACCTTTATCGCACATAGTAAACCCTGTCTCTCTCTCTCCCTCTCTCTATCGACTCTCTGGTGTCCAACAAAGGCAAAATGCCAAATTCTTTTTTTTTTTTTAAATAATCAGTGCTTGATAAGAGATAGAGAATGCGACAATATTCCAAGGAGGCACATGTATTTACTTTGACAGTCAGTAGCAGTCATCGCTTGTCTCGCTCTCTCACACACTTTCTCCTTCCCACTCTCGGTTTCTTTCTCTTTTTTTTTTCGTACTCTCTCTTTTGAATCCCCAGTTGTGTGGCCATTATTCTGTGTTTGTTTAGTGTTTGTGCTTGGCTGGCAGACAGCTGTGGTCTGAGTAGACTTGTGCCAAAAGCACAAAGAGTCTCAGGACAGCAACGGACAGTGATATGAAACACTGAAACAACTTTTTCTTTTTTTTTTTTTAATGTTGGACATTTCATAATTGAGACATTGGCCAGTGGTGTAGAAATCAGTCGCTGCTGAGAGGCCAAAGTGATTTCTTTCTCTTTTTTTCCCTCCATTTAATAAGCCTCCATTGTGGTTCGGTATGTGATGAACTTTGGTTTCAAAATGTTTAAAACCAAACCCTGAGTGAAATTCAAATATATGACCCTGGAGTGAAGCTGAAATTTGATTTCCACTGAAAGTAAAACTGCAATATTTGACCTCTCTTTATTCTCTTCATGAGAATTGGACCATTTAAAGTGTGTAACCTTGTGAAGGGAATAACTTTCATACTTAATGGGGCTCTCTCAGTTAACATTTTCTCCCTGACTTACTGAATTGACAAAGGCCATGGACGTTTTTTTTTTTTTTTGTTTCCCAATGACAGTACCTAGAAAAGTCAAACTGACAGTAGCATCACATCCACAGCACACTGGAAATAGCTTAGTGTGCTGTCTCATGTGAAACGTTAGCCTCACATTAGGTAATTCCTCCTCGAGGAGAATGGTCATAATTTCACCCAACACAATAACCTCCTCCTCCAACAATACAACCAAAGACGATTTGCTGAGCCATTAAGCTGCGGTAATGAAATAAACACCAGCGTGAAAAATGATTTCTATCACTCCTGTCCCCATAGAGTCTGATCTGTGTACAACAACAAACACATTTAAGCAGCCTGACATCCAATTAGATTCCGCTCCGATCAGACAGACAATCAGTCAACGGTCTAGACATTTTTGTTCATTCAACCCCTATATGACACTGATACTAGGACTGTCTTTCATACACGCACATCAACAAGGGTGAAAGTGTGATTTTTGGAGGTCAGATGTCACTGTTGGCCTTGTTTGTTTTTTTTGGGCCAAACTCAAGGACACATCTAGAAGTTAGGTTTGACATCTTGGGTGAACCATCATCATCCTTTTCTCTTTGTTAAAACCTAACCTAAAATAGCTCTGGGACACTTGTAAATGTAAATTTTCTTTTTAGATGTGCCAGTTCCAGGGTTCTGGTATCATCCACACTCACTTACCTGAATGACACCTTAATGGAACGGGGCCATTATTAATGTCTTCAGTTGAACATGTGCTTATATTAAAAGCCTAATTTGCTGCTGGTTTGTATGGTATGTAATGGTAGTTTAAGAATGCTACTCTGTTACTACAAAGCATTAAAGGCAAAAAGTGAAGGGAAATCAGTTAAACACATTTCATCCAACTCTCTACTACTGAAAAAGTTTTCACAGTCATATTATTTAGTTTGATGTATCAGCTGATAGTGGATTTTTGCAGATGTTGGTGCAGATGTCGGCTGATAAGTGATAAGAAATTGCAGAACAAAAGTACCAAATGTTATGTTTCAGCCCATTAAGAAATAGGGACTCCAAGCATAGTTGGTCCACAAGATAGATCTGAAAACACACCCTGGCCTGTACATTTATTTATGTGTTCATGAAAGAAAGAAAGAAAGAAAGAAAGAAAGAAAGAAAGAAATCATCACATTGTTATATGATTTTTCAAACTCTCAAACACCAGCCTCAAGAATCCAGCATATCCAGCCTACTCAAAAATATGAATCTTTAAAACTACAACTTCTCTGGAGGTAAAAACTTGGATCAATTGTGTTTTACTTGTCTTCCTTTACCCAATTTACTATATCTAAGTTGCATAAATTCATTCCTTTCTGCAAAAAAATCCCCAAAAAACATAGTTTTTTGCAAATATGAGAGCAACTGGTTTGAGGATGGCAGCTAACCGAAGTATCTATAGTAACTATACCTCTATTTCTATATACCTCTATTTTTTGGATGGACAGCAGACCGTTTCCGGAAAATAGTACAATATGACAGCAAATCCCCCCCCCCCCCTTAAATCTCATCCACTCCTCTTCTACCTGAGCGCTTTGAGAGGCGCATCTATCCTCCCTCCTACTGACGTCACAGCAGCCAGTAGTTTGTCCTCTGCCTGAGCTCGGACTGCTGGAGATATCTGCGAGGAGGAGGAGCAGTCAAAGTTTGACTTTCCCAGACGAGGAAAAAGTCTTATACTGAACGACAAAAAAAAAAAACCTGAAGACTTTCGAAGTTTTCCTGAAGCGGAATATCGCGTGGTTGTTGGCATGGAATGACACCTTCTCACCAGGAGCTTCAAAACCACGATGGCAACCCGTTTTCTGAAGTGGATCAGTCTCACCTCTCTGCTCTGCCTGGGCTCCTGCGTGCTGGCGGAAAGGAAAGGTATGTCAGGGAGCTATTACAACATGTCGCGGGGCTGTAATGGTGAGAAGGCTCTCGCTTTTTCTCTTTGCTGGTCCAGCGTTTTACATACATCTCACAGAAAGAGAAATATCAGGCTCGCTCACAAAAACCAAACCACAGAGAAACTTGATCCAGCGTGGGAGAAAAGTTTCTCACAGTCTCGCTGTTTCAGCCTGTGACCTCCTGGTTTAAGGCTACACATAGACAGACAGAGAGAGAGAGAGAGAGAGGCTCCAGTAAAGTTTAGCCCTCACTGTCAGTGCGTGACACTTAACTAATAATAATGTAATACGTTTGCGGAAAAGTTGATTAACCAATTGGGAAACTGCGCAAATACGCATCTCTGACTTCATCCCGTGCGGAAAGTAGTTGACTCAGTTACGCACATTTGCACCACATTGAAGAAGAAGATGATGATGACGATGATGAAATGAGGGGATGTGAATTGTGCAATTTAATGTTGTACTTTATTTTCTTGTCCCTAGATGTAGTATTTTGTATCTTTCTGTGAACATAGTGTCAGCATTCCTGTCTCCAGTGCTCTGTGCAGTGTGTGATCTGTTTGTAGGCAAAAATAGAATTAAAACTGGGGCATGCTGTCACCTTGAAATACACTAAAAGTACATTTTTAAGCATTTTGTAAGTTTTCCTCTTCACACTCAGAAACCTTCCACCAGTCACTGACATTGCCACATTTCCTCATCTGAGATTTTGCCTTTGCCTCTGTAGCCCACTCAGCTGTTCACATGTGTTTTATATGTGTGTTTGAGCATCTTCTCACATCATGAGGAGGCTGGTGCGTGTTGTTCAGTTCTTTCATCTGGTCCTCAGAGGAAATTAGATCAAAATGTGAAGACAGTCACTTCATTAGACTCGCACAAATGACAAAAAGCAGAGAGTCTGGAAAGTGTGGTGTGGACTGGTGCAAGTATGAAAGCAGCAGGAACAGCAGGTTTCTGGAATCTTTTTCTTTTGGCCTTGATGTTAAGGTCGAACAACTTTTTAGTTTTTAATGACATGGTAGTGTTTTGACTCTCACTGCAATGCTGTTTTTCTATTGTTCACAAATGATGTGTTTTTTTATTTTATTTTATTTTAATAGCTGAAATGTCAGGCTCTTTAAATGGACGCCTGTGTAGGCCATATCGATATTTAACATGGATATGAGTGAAAAATAAGCCCAGGAAAGATCCTGTGTCACAGTGGTGAAATTAAAATGTTAGTGTAAGAGTAAAAGCTTGAAAATATTAAAAGTAGATCCACATGTATTTTTGAGTGACTCAGACTTCATAAAGGCCAGATGTCAGGAGAGAAAGTGACCAGGGGTATCACTTTACGCCCTAATGACTTTTAACTTCCTATTCTAATGAATCATCCTTGTCTGTACTCGTTGTACTGTTGTTCCTCCTTAAAAGCAGATAAGCACAGTGTGTTTGTTGCCAACAGCGCACGTGCAAGTTGCATCTTTCCCGTCTGCTCCAACAAGTAACAACCAGTGCAGCTTTTCACAGAACCATAACAAATCAAAAGTGTTTGTGAGCCAAAAAGACAGAGTCCCTAAATATTTCTGGGCTTCTAAACAAACTAGACAAGCGCACATTTCACGCAGCAGCAAGTCTCCCACAGTAAATAAGGATTCGGGAATTTTTATTAAGACCAGAGAAGATTAGAAATGAGCAGCTGTAATGATAGTTATAGTATGCAGTACAATTTGGTTTAATTACAGTTCATTTTTTGCGACTGATCCAGTTTCTGTTTCCAGGGAAATGTGAGTCCCAACATATGGTCTGACAGTTGTAGTTGTTGTTGTTGTTGTTGTTGTTGTTGGTTTTTGTTTATGTTTTTGGCCAGGGGCTGGGACAGATGTTACTTTGTGGCACACCAGGTTTTCCTAGCACACAGTGTCCATTAACAGTCAAAACTTGATTTGAACAAGATGTCAAATCCCAGTTATGCTCCTTTGGCATGAAATCTCCAAACTAGAAAAAAACATATAATAATTGCAGGGAGATGTGGGTTGTTTTATATCTCCATAAACACAATTAACACATGGATTCATTTTTGTTATTGATTAAAGAATGAGTTGCTGGAGGGTGCTGCAATGTGTTCTTTGAGTTGTTCGATCCAGTTTACAGTAGGTTTATCCATTAACTCGAAATGAAACCCAGTATAGTTTAATCCTTAATAAGTATAAATCGACTACTCAAAATAATTAGTTTTGTTTTTTTGAGTGTCGGTTTGATGACAGAAAAACTGTATGATTGTCTGAAAGGGGTCTGAACACATTTGTTGGATGTTGTTGTTAGTGGTGGACTGCTCATGTCTAAGTGGGATTTGGATCCTTATCTGTAAAAACACAACAATAATTGTATGTCTATTGAGATCGGATTTAGAAAATATTGCCCAAATAGACATTACATCACTTTTATTTTGAAAATCAGAGGTGTTCTTTTCCTGCCTGGCAGGATGATTAAAGATTACAGATGCTGACTGTTGGTGCCTATGTATTGTCAGTTGTCTGGCCACCTAAATATAGATGTATGAATAAGTTATATTTAATTCCTTAGTGTTTAAAAACAACAAGGAAACTTGAAAAACTTGAACAAAATGTCAAAACAAGAATAAATACAAGCTTGTCCTATAAGCTTAGTGGCAATGCATTTCTGAGCTAATCCAAAGGGGTTTCTAAGGGTTTTATGAGCCTTAAGAAGACGGATAATTTTCTCAGCCCACAAAGGAGCATGTAATCCTTCGACTTATTTTAAAATCACCAAACCGGGAGATACATGGTTGTCAGGCTGACTGTTCAATCTAATTTAGTAAACTCTGTTTGACCTGAAACTGTTTGTGTTGCTAGGAGGCTAGTGAGAACATCTGGTCAGCTGTTTACACTTGGAAGTGGGCAAAAGATTTTCAAGTTGAGAAAAAGTTGAAATTGATGCAGGCCCTGGATGGAAAATAAAGCTTTGGTCCATATTACTAAGCATTTGTCCCTAAGGAACAGACACTTTCACCATTCATGGATCAATGAGCTGAAGAGAGAGAGAACGCCTCATGGTCACATTAACAGTGTTGCTCACTTTATCACAGAGACAGTTACAAAAGCATCGGTGGAGTGAAATATGTACTGACATTAACACACACAGAAATTCATCATTTTCAATTGACAGTTTGATTAACCCCTGTCCTACAGAGTCATTGTCCAATCAAAAACTAGGCACTCTTTTTTTTTTTTTTTTTTTTTTTTTTTTTTTAGCCTTTCAAAAATATAAAAAAAACACAAGAACAAAAGTGTAAGGACTAGCATGCTAACAAGCCTAAAACCTACAGGGATAATAAAGCCTTGCTTCCAAGACCAAAGGAGCATCCCAGCATGCACCAGACATCAGTGTAACGTAAGAAAGACATCAGACTCTAACGACTGTAGCGACTCTTAACGTTGGACAGATGTTTTTGGTTGGAAATGAAAATTGGGTCAACCTCAAAAAACCCACCATTGGCTAATTGTCTCTGTGACATTTAGCAGGCGTTTTGCTCACAACCAGGATGTCGGTATTTTATATGTTAAGATGGTGTTGGCATGAAACATTTGGAAGCTGTTGGATTTGGGTTACTTACCAACACAACTTAAAAACAACAAAATATCAACCTCAGCTCTCGTCAGTCGGCTTTTCTATGTCAAATTGAGGTTGGCATTAGATCGTTGTCCAGACAACATCACAGGGTTACAGGTTACAAAAAAGTGGAAGTCTCTCCGTGATGCAACAGTATCAGAGTTCAGTGTAACATTTGCACCTCTGTCCTGCTTTTTATAGTGTTGCATCTGCTAAACACATCAGTTAGTCCTGATCCTAAATATGTTAAGAAATGATAATCATATTTGGGAAATAAACAACCAGGTGGTCATTTTGCCTGATCAATCAGCCCATATTTAGCTGCAATCCTGTCATGGGGAAGAAATGAATTTGAGTTCTGATAACGAATCCAGCGGTGATAGCAGCCCCCCTGTCAGTCGCTCCGCTCAGCGACAGCCTGGCAAGGTGTGATGGCTTCTGTGGGATTCAGACAGGACCTGCTGAATAATAGAAAAGCTCTTTGTCCCATCTGCTGCCACGCTCAGTTTATTAACTGTCATCATCTGCAGAGAGGTTGTAAATAATGCCCACAGCTTCACCCAGCAGCCAACCACAAGTAATAACTGTGGTGATTTATTTCCCAGATGAAATGCTAAATGGCCTCAGAATCAATTGGTCTCCTTCTGTTTTGTGACTGGAGTTGTATACTGTAGAGGCAGGTGATGATAAAAAATCTTTGATTGTATGCTGAAATATTTCCAATCTCTTCTACCTTTAGTTGTAGAATGCCCAAACCCAGAGTGCAGATATGACGTGAACCTGCCTGAGAGCCTCTTTAACTGGGCTGTGAGTTAACCTGTGAAAGATCAAACTAATCTCAGGGGCATGTCGACGGCTAAATCCTTAATCCCTAATGCGAGGCTCCCCAGATCACTTTGGGCACAAGATAACCCGCTTATATCAATATGCTTTTTCAGAGTTAATGGGTTATTCAAGTTCTCAGCAGAATGAGATTGGAAGATAATATGTATACAGTATATATATATATACGTGAAGTCCAGCTCCATCATTTAAATGTGCTTGTACACCTGCAAAAGTTGAGCTGAATCATGACAAAAACTTTACTCCTGCAGTGCATTTCAGCTTTCTGAGTAAGTGCTTTTCCCTCTGCGTTGTGTTGGATTCTAACAAGCCAGATTCCCTCATCAGTCATCTGTTTTTTTTCCCCATCGCTTTCAAAAAACCATGCCTTTTCTTTTCATTAAAGCCCACTCTCTGGGATTAGATTGATGTCGGTAGTGAAATATAGGTTATGATCCTGTGAAATCCTAGAATCTCTAGTCTGCGTTTTAGGGTTCGGAGTGGCCCTGGTGTTACTACTGCCGCTGCCGCTGCTGAGTCTTA